TATTTGAGGTATTTATTTGGGGTATTTATTTGAGGTATTTATTTGAGGTATTTATTTGAGGTATCTATTTGGGGTATTTATTTGAGGTATTTATTTGGGGTATTTTTTTGAGGTATTTATTTGAGGTATCTATTTGAGGTATTTATTTGAGGTATTTATTTGAGGTATTTATTTGGGGTATTTATTCGGGGTATTTATTTGAGGTATCTATTTGGGGTATTTTTTTGAGGTATTTATTTGAGGTATTTATTTGGGGTATTTATTTGAGGTATCTATTTGGGGTATTTATTTGAGGCATCTATTTGAGGTATTTATTTGAGGTATTTATTTGGGGTATCTATTTGGGGTATTTTTTTGAGGTATTTATTTGGGGTATTTATTTGAGGTATTTATTTGAGGCATCTATTTGAGGTATTTATTTGAGGTATTTATTTGGGGTATTTATTTGAGGTATTTATTTGAGGTATTTATTTGGGGTATCTATTTGGGGTATTTTTTTGAGGTATTTATTTGAGGCATCTATTTGAGGTATTTATTTGAGGTATTTATTTGAGGTATTTATTTGAGGTATATCCCCCCGAAGCTTAAAATGATTTGACACGCCTCCCCCATTTTCACTTTATATATTTGATGAATAAAATTATATCTGTATGATGTTTTCTGTGATGGTAAATATCCAGAATAAATCCATGGACATATTATTCGTACTGCTAACACTGCTGTTTCCACGGTAACCCCTGATATATGTTTCTATATTAACATATTAGAGATATTATAACAGAACATGGTTTGTAATGTAGATTTTTACAAACACTATGAAGAGACGTCTCATCTGTTCTGTAGATAAGAAATGACCGGGTCTGTTCGATCAATAATTTCTGTTTTCCTGGTGTGGACATTAAAGAGTTAAAGCTATGACCCCACATAATAAACATAAACAACAAGAGGTTCTGAAGCCTGGATCTGACCCGGGGTCAGCCGTGTCCTGAGCTTCAGTAACGTGTTGTAACTGAAGTATTGATTGATTGATTGATTGATTGATTGATTGATCAGTTTTATCTGTGTCTCTGTTCAGATGAGTCCCGTCGGAGCTGTCATGTCGTCACCTGACGGATCAGACGTGATCACATGGTATTGATTATGGATCAGAGAGAGAGACTGCTGGAGGAGGAAGAGACGGACCAAACAGTTATTGAAGATTAACGCCAAAGCTGCTCGACGAACCCGAGCGGGATAATTATTATTTTTTTAAGGTGGTATTGGTTAGTTTGTGTTGATATAATCACCTTCTGTTTATTATTATTTCTAAGAACGTTCTTGTGTCTTGAGTTTTCTGCTCTGACTGTGCTTAAACTACTGCAGACTGACTCCAGACCAGCTGAGACACTTTGAGGTTTCACTTTCACTTTCTGCCGTCTGATGGCGGCGGCGTGTTCAAGTTTAAACGCTGTGTTAAAGGACGATTCCGCTCTACTGATGTGACTCTCCACCTGAGACTCAGTGAAATTAGAACGTAGTTCACAATAAACCTGAGTCATCTCAAACACTCTGAGTCTGTGACACAAAGTAAACACTGAGAGCAGCCGTGTGATTGGCTCACTGCAGACGTCCAGGTCGACTTTGTTTACCTGTGTGAGGCTGTCAGTGTGTGTCTTTGGCTGTTTGCAAACGAGTGCCTGAAACTTCCTGATGTGCAGGAATGAAGCTGCACAGTAACAGCTGTGTGACGACTCCTCGCTCTCCACGCTCACTCTGAGATGTCTTTTTTATTTTGGGGTATTTTTTTAAACTGAATAATCCAACACAGCCGAAACTTTCCTCTGAGGTGATATCAGATCGCAGTGACAGTTCACACGGTCATACAACCCCTGGAAAAGTTATCAAACTACAAAAACTGTTTTTCAGGCTTTGAATGAACGATATGTTTAGAAAAGTGCTGATCACACGTTGTTTTGGCTGTTGTTTAAGAAAAGTTCACAAAGAGCCAAAGACATGTCAGACGTTACGTGAAATGTCTTCCTCGTGTTATTAATTAGAAATCTGTGACTGTTGAAACATCGCTTGTATCACATGAAACACAAACCAGAGCAAGGGTCTCGATCACTGCACGAGCAGCGTGTGATGCTACCTCGCTGCAGCTCGCACGTGTGTCACAAAGACGGCGTTGCTGCTGTAACGACTGTATTTACACAGTTAAAAGCCGATCCCCTAAAAACTCACTGCACCGTGCAGCCGCTGCATCGACAACATCACGACTCTGCAAATATTTCACAATTAAAAGCGTGGTGTTGACAGATGAAGGGATCCTGTCACAGATACACTGTCTGAAGGCTTTTATTTTGAAACAGGAAGGGCTGAGTTAATAAGAAATATTTTTATTTTTTCATATCTGTGACAGATAGACGTTTAAACTGCGGTGAAAGGTGGCGTGACGTTAATAGACCAGCTCTGAGTGGACGTCACAGTTACGTCACAGCAGTGGCGTGCGCCTCCTGGTGGCAGAAAAACAGCCGACATCAGAGAGAAGCAAGACAGACCCAGAATAAAGATGTCTTGTGGTGTCGTTGGATGTCAGAATAGGAACACAGTTTAAGATAACCTTCATTTTATGGAAAACCGTCTCTGAGGACGCCGTAGTAGAAGATAAAATTTCGTCTTTGGTTAATTCTAATGTGTATATTCAGGCTGTAATGGCTGCTGGACGCTCAGCAGAAGAGTGTGTGTTTGGATTACATGAACTGAATCACTGATGTGCTGAAAGATAATTCATCATCATTGGAACTGTAAAAACTCACATCTGTCAAACATGGATTTGTCTCATTGTCCCTGGTTCAAACTTGAGTAGACGTCCACACAGAATATCATTTAATGTGGAAGCAACATCAGACACCTTTGTAGCTAGCTAGCTAACGCTGTCTGTTCATGAACTCCTGGATCAGAACAGAATATAGAAACTGCTCATTTTAGAAAGGACACCACAAGAAAACATGTTCTTTGTTGAAATTAATAAACAGACACTAGGTCATTGTTTGTTTCTGTCAGCGATCAGCCATAGGTAGCATGCTAGCTACGTTAGCTACATGGCTAATGTTAGCGAGCCCTTCACTTTCCGTGCCTGGATGCAGATGAACCGATCTAAATGCACATTAAGGGTTTTCTTGTGGTGTCCTTTCTAAAGTGAGCAGTGGTGACAGTTAATGTACTTTGTTATGATCCAGGAGTTAATAAACAGACAGCGTTAGCTAGCTAGCATGCTAGCACGTTGATAAGATGGACGTCCACATTAAATTAAATTATATGTGGACGTCTCCACAACTATTAATTAAGGATAATAAGACAAATCCATGTTTGACAAATGTGAGTTTTTTTCAATTCTTATGATGATTTATCACCATGTAAATAATAAATGATCCAAACACACACTCCTCTACTGAGCATCCAGCAGCTATTACAGTCTGAATATCCAGATTATAATTAACTGCAGACAAAACTTCATTTCCACTACACGTAGATCATAAACTCGTGGATCGAAAAATGACTCATTGCAATCGGTTGAGAAATATAAACGTGACAGTGATTTTTATGTTTTATTTGGCGCTAATGCCGACACCACTACTGTCACTTTCTGCCGCCAGTTTGGCTCCGCCCACAAAACACATTTACAAACACAAAAAGAATCTTTCATCAAAAAAAAAACACTTTCAATTGTTTTTGCTGAAAACCGCACGCAGAAAAATAAAACAGGCGGGGCTCCCACAGAGCGCTGCAGGATGTACTTCTCTGTTGGCCAGCCCTGAAGTCAGCGTCGCCCTGGTTCCCTGGTCAGAAAGTAAACAGGATTTTTTTTGTTTGATTTTGGATTATTACAGAAAATAAACGTTTCTGATTCTTCAGGTTTTGTCCAGTGAGATAATCTTCACTGACGAACACCACTTTATGATTATTGAAGAATAAATTAAATCAACAGAGGTAAAACGCTAACGTAAGGCTGTAAACTAACTACATCACGGTCACATGACTTTAACATCGCCACCACAGTGAGGCTGTAAAGTCGTGTTCAGCGTGACGACGTTCTGTCATCTCATTTAGACTCTTGTTAGAGACACATAAAAGCTTCAGAGTTCACACTGGGTATTTACTGACAAAGAACAAAATGTGAAAGTCTCTCAGCTTGTGTTATTTCACACACTGAACCAAAAACACTGACCTCAAGACCAGGGAACAGGAAGCGCTAACATGCTAACATGCAAACTCATTTCTGGGTTTTAAGAATCATACCCGGGGCACTCTCTTCTCTACACCAGTGATTCCTAACTGCTCCACATTTCTCAGTCATCAGTTTAGCCTCCGCACACTTTAAGACATGCTGCGTCATACCTGCCTTTGCCTAGTTTGCCGTCTTCAAAATAAAAGCTGTGCCAAAAATTCACTGTACTTCAAAATAAAGTGTTTTTTTTTGTTTTTTTTACAAACTTGACACATTCGCGAGTCACTTGCTGTCCACTCAGAACGGACCCACGACCCACCAGCTGGGAACCACTCAGCTCACGCTCAGCAGCATCTGAGAAGCACTGCTCACACAGGCAGTGTGGCTGATCTAACCTCTTAACATGGACGCCAAAAAACAAACAAACAACAACACACGCCTGAGGCAGGCAGTGTGTCACAGGCGTCATCTACACGTAAATAAACCAGTTTATTTTGTGTTGAACAAACAACAAAGTGTTTGAAATGATTTGAGTCAAAGTTACGTTCATGTAAAACCCATCAGGCTGATGTAAAGAAGAGTTTTCCTTTAAGTTGGTCTTAACTAAAATCCCGATGATGACGATGATATGATGTAAGATGTACGGGGGGGGGGCTCTTCATGAGGTGGACGGATGAGCTCACTGACTTTACGATAAATCGTTTCCTCAGAACTGAAGTTTCTCAGAAACAACTTTTAGTGACCAATAATGAGAAGATCGTCAGTTTAAAGCCAAATAAATACGAATTCTTTGTTTATTTATGATTTGAATCTTTTTCTCCACCTGTTGTTTTTCTGCCTGCAGACGACTCGTGTTTCATATTCAGCTGCTTTTCAGCAACTAAAACTCTCAGGTCACATTTCAGTTTCACGTTTCTCATATTTCCAGGAGAATTCTTGGAACTTATGAAATAAACATTTTAACATGTTTCAGCATCTTTGATATTTTCCACAGCTTTAAACTGAAGGTAAATGAAGTGCCCGTATTTCTCTCTGCTGCTGTTTCCTGTCAGAAAATGCCAAAGTTTCACTTTTACTAAAAACATTAAAGTGTTTTTAAAATCTCTCCATGTTTCTGTCTGCGCTGAAATTAAATCTCAAACTGTTTGGTTTGCACTTGAACTGCTCCTTTATTGTTGCTGCATATTTAACATGTGATAATGATCATATACTGAGCAACACTTCACACAGCACTTTGTTTTTGCTCTCATTTTTCACAGGTTGAAAACTTTTGATGCGCTCAGTAGAATATTTTAAACTGTGACAGTGAGCAGCACCTGACACGTGTGCCTCAGACTGATCCATCCTCTGTTTAACCAGGTGAAAGTCTCACTGAGCGACCTGTTGTTACAACTATAAACACTGACGAGTTGAACGGCTACACGCCACAAAGAGCGAGCACAGCAGCCAGTTAAAATGCAAGAAGAATAAAAATCCCAAAACAAGCCAGAATCCATGAACCAGTGGAGTTTCTCTGACGTGGAGAAACTCTTGTACAGAGAGGCATGTTTTACATCTAACTGGGTTCATTTCAACCAAAGCAGAGCTGGTGATTGTTGGGACAGTGGAGAGATGAACCATGTTTGATCACATGACACAGACAGAGCGTGTTGTTAACATGCTGACTGCAGGAACATCCACCAGAGCTGCTGACTGTCAACTGTGTTCATTTCACAACCAGGAGACGTCTCCAGTGTTGTTTCTGAACATCCAACCAGCAGTACATCAACTGACCTCACAGCTGCACAACACGGCAACTGCTGTCAGGTCGACCCTGGTGAGGATGATGAGCTTCCAGATGAGCTTCACTCAGTCCGTTTCCATGGAAACAGTGAAGTGTAGCTCCAGTCCCAGCTGGACGAGGACATCTAACTGGCCTACTGTCCTTGTCCCAGTATACAAGCACGGGAGGGGAATCCATTTATTGAGCCAAGTATGTGCGACTCCTCTACGATAGGTGGAGATATGCCCCCTTTCAGCTTGTTAGTATTGGACCTTTTTCCTGTTGACCTATTACGTCACAGACCAAACAATGGACAAAAAAGTTAGCTACGGTTAGCTAGCAGCTAACTGCTACCATGGTGGACAACTTTACAGCTCTGTACATTTGGTGCGTCCAAAAAGTCACGGCTCTGGATGTAGATTTCTCCATGTTGTTACCGGCTTCTTCTTCTCTTACACATTTAATGCTATTGGACTTCCGGGTCAAAGCCCGGGGCGGAAACTGTGGAGCATGCTCAGAGCGCCTCGGCCAGTTTGGGTCTGATTGACTGTATACATGCAGGAGTCACATGATCTGGGTGTGTTAGTCCCACTGTGACACATTCACTGCAGGACCATTTCACTCACACTGACATGTTTACAGGGATTTTAATATCAATAAATCCATTTTCTCTGATGCCATAGAAACAGACTGAGTGTGACAGTTTGTTCAGAGAGTCTTTAGTTGTTAAAACTAGTTATGATCTCACAGATGGAGACACTGGATGTGGACGTCCTGAGAAATAAATCTACTGAGTTCATAAAATAAAGTGTGAGATCTTCAACATCAACCTGAGAAACAAGAGAAAAAAGTCACATGTAATATGACTGTATTATAACTGAATGACCTGCAAACCAAAGTTTGACCACGCCTGCTATGAGACAAATGATGTGAGTGTTTGGTGCCTGGAGCAGCAGGAGCATGGTGTGTGTGATATGAAACAAACAGAGAGCAGTGGAGTTTTGAAAAAGCCGCTTTTATTTTGTAGCTGAGAAAAACAGGAAGTTCCTACAGGCACTTGAGGACAGTGAAGTTACAGACGGTTCCTCCGGGACATCCGCACAACTTCCCGATCCTCGAACCTTTACGCACCGCACACTGCTCACCTGCATCACACTGAGACACACACACACACACACACACACACACACAGTTAATACTATAAAATATACACACACACACACAACTTGAAGAAAACAGAATAAAATAAAAAAATGCAGTGAAATGTTCCTTTACAAACACACCTGATTAAAGGGACAGATCCAGGGGTCGTATTCACAAAGCTTCCTCGTGCTAAGAGTGGCTCGTAGTGATGAAACTCTAAGAAAATTCTAAGAATTGTGACGTTTTCTTAGAATTTTCCCTTAAACTTAAGACGAGGTCCTCGTTAAGATAAACGTTATTCACAAACCATCTCTGATCTTAAAAGAGCTCCTGAGGAGACAAAGTGTTGGGAGCAGGAGGAGGAGTTTAAGAGTTTCTGAATCAGAGGAGAAAATGGTGGAAACACAAAGAGGTCAGAGAAATATTCTCCAAACACTGGACGACAGAGGAAATGAGACGCTGCAGATCAGATGATGTCATCAGGGATACACACACATTTCCCAGCTGACTCTGTAACGTCAGAAACAAAATGATGACATCATCACTGAGGTATGTGAGGTCAGAGCAGCAGTGATGAGTTGAGTCTGTCTCAACCTTCATCAGCAGTGATCACACTAACACTGACACTGTCACAGTCTGCAGTTCATCTCATGTCCACTGGGTGTCCTCACACCTTACAGGCTCACAGAGGGGCGTGTCTCTGACAACCAATCACATCACACCTAACAACAGGGTCGACCACACCTCCTCACTGAGGTCACAGTTTCTGTCCCTTCATCACTCACAGAACTTTCCTGAATCACTCCTGACCTCTGACCTCTGACCTCTGACTGCTGGCTAAAGGGTTTTAGGCTGAGTTAAGGAGCTCTGTGAGACACTTCTCAGGCTCTTTGTGTAAACGGCTCCTGACGTTTTGGAGCGGGGTTGTATGAGATATTTATCCACAGTCACTGTGTTACCTATTCTCATTTCCTCACTCTCTGACATCAGTAAACGCACCTTCAGCTCATCCAAAACTCTGCTGCTAGAATCTTGACTGGGACTAGAAAACATGACGACATCACCCTGATCTCGGCTTCCCAACACTGGTCACCTGTTGATTTTAGAACTGATTTTAAATCAGAAGCTGCTTCACTAAAGGCCAATTCATTCACAGTGTAATTTTTGGAATTGCCTGGTATAAGCACACAGGGCAGCTCAGTGGGTTACCAAAAGATATTTGTAAAAATCTGAGGGTCATTTGGCAGAAGGACCGAGGGTGTGCATAAAACACTGAGGGATGGTTGAAAATACCATCAAATACTGGGAAATATAACTCAGTATAAAGTAATCCATAGGTTTTACTTTATCCTTCTAAGTTGTTCAGGACGGGCTGTTGGCTAATTATTAATGTTGGAAATGTCAGACAGAAACTGGAACGTTTCTCGATGCAATCTGGGAATGTGAACTGGGGAAAGTTGTGGATCACACAGGGAAGTGGTCGGTGTGACGGGACCTTTGACTCAGTGCTGTTCTCTGACGTCATGTCAGTTTGTGTCTGAGCTAACTGCTGTTTTTATCTCCATCATCCATGTAAGGTTAAAATAATGTCCTTTAACCATGAACAGTTCAAGTGCTGCTTTTCTGACTGGTGTTATTTCTGCAGGTTGTTTCTTTTCATAGTTCATCACTCTCTCCAGCTGTGGCAGAGAAGTGACAGCATGACGCACGTTCAACAACTGAACACCGTCTGACAAAAAAGCCAAAGCAGTCTGGGGCTGCTCATAAAACAGGCTTCAGTTAGTTCGTCTCACTCAAACCCTGCTTTATAAACCTCCTCAGACCTGAGCAGTGTTGAACAGACAGGACCCGTGCAGACCTGCTGAGCCCCTCAGGTGAATAATCAGGTGAATAAATGAGAGTTTCTTACAGAAGGAACCCAGCCGAGCTTCTTCTCTGACGACGGCAGCTGTTTGTTCTTTAACTTCTCCAGAACTTCCTGCAGAGCTTCAATCTGAGGAGAGAAGACATGCGTCAACTTCCTGTCCTTCCATCAGATATTTAACACGTCTGCTGCTCAACAGTAAACTTCTCTGAGGGGGAAAACACATAAAAACCACTGTCATCCATGGCTCTAGTCTTCATTACATGTACAGATCATTAGGAAACACATCAAATATGAATTCAGTAAAAGTATAATCCTCTGCCTGCTCAGACTTCATCACAAGTCTGACACAGAGGAAATCCAGGGAGAGGAGACGGAGGCCCGACATAATGTTAAAGGACTCGACTCATTTAAAGAGTAACTGGTATTTGTCAACCTGGACTTTATGTTCCCATGATTTGTGCCTCAGTGACTGATGGGAACAACAGTAATGAGAGAGAGCGTGCCGCAGTGAAACAGGCTGACAGGCCCAGATTGTTATTCTCAGTGTCTGACAGCATTATGGAAGGATCCCTACAGAGATAGAGCTTTGTGTTGAAGATAAAGATCCAGAAACAGTCCTGAAATCACCGTCACCAAACCCACCAGACTCCATTTAAATCAACAGTCATGTTAGTGTGTATAGAGGCAGCATGTTGTCACATCTAACTGGTGAGTTAAGGGTTAATTTAAACCAAACCAGAGCTGGTGATTGTTGGAACAGTGGAAAGATGAACCAAGATGGTTTTTGTGAGTCTTATTTTGTTTCTGTCGACTCTGAATGAAGAGTGTCTTATGATGATTAAATGACTGTTTATTTAAATGAAGTCTGGTGGGTTTGGTGATGGTGATTTCACGACTGTTTCTGGTTAAACAAAAAGGATCCTGTGGTTGTATGGCTCCGCCCACCAGCCCACCATGTGGTTGTATGACTCCGCCCACCAGCCCACCCTGTGGTTGTATGACTCCGCCCACCAGTCCACCCTGTGGTTGCATGACTCCGCCCACCAGTCCACCCTGTGGTTGCATGACTCCACCCACGAGTCCAGTGTCTCTGACAGTCTCCATCCATGTCAGTGAAAACATTGATGCTTCACACACAGAAGATCTACGAGAATGAGACAGATGCAAGGTCACAGTGACCTTTGATCATCAAAAATTAATCAGTTCATTGTTGAGTCCAAGTGGACATTTGTGCTAAATTTGAAGAAACATGGGACGTACGGCTATGGCTGCCACAGAGGCGTAACAAGGTTTATCTCTGTTGGGATCTTTCCTATGATGTTATCAGTAGAAATGAAACAATATTAAATTTTCACATCTTGATTAAATTGACCAAAATAATGATGATTTTTAAGTATTATCACTGTAAATTCTTAAAATGTGCTGGAAAAAGTCCAAAAAGTAGTTTTATCTTGAGGCCATAAATGAGCAGCACATTCTGTTTACACAAACATTAAAACAAATTAATGTAAACATAATAAAACCAAATCAAATGTGCATCAAAGTGAAAGACCTACAGTCAGTGAACTGCTGCTCGAGTGTCTCTGTCCCTGTAGATGAGGACAGGGACAGAGACACTGCTGCATGTCCAACTCTGTAAACAACACAAGAGCAGAACAAACGCTGCTGCGTCTGCGTCTGAGACGGTTGCTGACTTTGGTTACGTGTTTGTTACAGCTGTTGTTATCTAACCTTCAACAGATGTTGAGTCTGTGTGTTGGGACTCACCAGTTCCTCCTCCTCTTGTGTCTTGATGGCAGTGTCTCCAGGTGATCGCTCCTCTATCAGCTCCTCGCTGCTCCCCAAAACAACCAGCAGCCAGCAGGAGGCGCTGAGGAGCAGCATCCTGCCGCTGAGCATGGCGCTTATGGACTCGGACCGTGCAGGACGCTGAGGGACACTGAGAGACGCCTCTGGATGCTGAGTCTCAGTCTGAGACATGAAGGGTTTATATGAGAGCAGCTCTGACGTCAGTGTGACAATATTTACCTGCTGATAATGAGACGACCTGCAGACTCACCTCTGAGGTCAGCGGGGAGAAGAACCTCCGCTCCGTCAGACAGGAAGTGACGGCAGGAGGGAGGTTTGTGTTTGCATTTTAAAAAGCTGCGATGGATCCTCTGAGATCAGCGATGAAGTTCGTGACCGACTCATTTCACAACAAACAGATTAAATCCAAATCTATGAGATCCAGAGACGTTTACAGTCCATCTGTAGGTCCGTCACACTGAGGGCGGCTCCACAGCGTGATTTCAGTATTACTGCCATTTTTTGATGTTTCTGCAAATTATTTCATTTCTCCTGATTTTATTTCTATGTAAATACGTTTTGTTATTCTGCTGTTGTTGCTTTTAAAATCAGTTTTAAAACAAAGTCTTGCTAACAGGTTAATGCAGAAGACAGCAGGACAATGAGACACCATGGGGTGTGCAGCGTCTTCTCAGTTCAGACACTTTGGTTGCTGACACAGAGTATTCAACAACATAAAACTGTTCCCCTGAAGTGTGCCAGGCTTTGAAGCCACTTTTCGTAGTGGGAGTTCGAACTTTCAGGCGCGTCACGTGATGCTCTGTAACCCAAAAAGACTTCCTCCCATTGACTTACATTGTGACTGCAGTTGAACGACTTGTTTCACTCTCAGGATTTGATCCATTTGAATCCATAACATTTTGAAGTCTAGAAGAGCCACAAGATTAAATCATCTTATCCATCCATCTATTTTCGTCCACCAATCCAGGGCTGGGTCTCGGGGGCAGGACGCTGAGCAAAGCTCCCCAGATGTTCCTCTTCACAGCTCCTCCTGGAGGACCCCGAGGCGTTCCCAGACCAGATGGGACGTGCCCAAAACACGAATGGGAGGCGCCCAGGAGGATCCTGATCAGATGTTGAACCACCTCAATATGAAGGAGCAGCGGCTCTACTCCGAGCTCCCTCCAGATGTCTGACTCCTCCCCCTATCTCTAAGGCTGAGCCCAGACACCCTACAGAGGAAACGCGTCTTTATCAGCTGATCTGTCAATCAGCCGATGTTAGGGAGGCGTGACGCCACCTGCTGTCTGTCCGCCGCCTCTCCAGGATGCTGCTCCAGGTATGGGAGAGCATGTATGCCCCCCCATCCCTGTTCATTGTCCCTGGGCCCCGGGCCCCACTTCCTTATTTCAATGGCCTCCCTGATCTGATACCGGCGCTGGATCAGGGAGGTCACACTGACCTTTGACCTTCGACCACCAAAACATTAAGTCAAAGTGAACGTTTGTGTCAAATTTAAAAAAATTCCCTCGAGAAGTTCTTGAGATATTGTGTTCATGAGAACAGTACGTAGGGATGTATATACAGACAACCTGAAAACATATCGCCTCTGGCCACAGCGATCATCAGCGCAGAGACACAAGTCACTAAAGTGAATTTATTTTTCAGCTACTGTCTTCAACCCTGAGGAAGTGACATCAACACCTGACATTTACTGTCGATGTGTTACATCAATTAAAGAGAAACAACTGGATATGACATCACGTTTCCTGGAGTCTGTTTTGTGTTTGAGGGGAATGTTTCTTTAAGACGGCAGCATGAAACTGACAGGAAGTGGTGTGACGCTTCAGGGTCTCTGTGTGTCACTGTTTACGTCAAAGCACATAAGAGGCTCTAATATCATCCTCACAGTTTGACATCTGACTGAAGAGGTCAACATTTATCAAACACATCCAGATGTTTGACTCAGTGAAGGGTCAGAACAAAGTTCAGTGACATAAAGAAATAGTGTCTCTAATAAAACAGAAACTATCTGCGTGCAGGGAGGAAATACATGAACCCAACCTTTGAATACTGATCTGAGTTTATAGACGACGACATGAGGAGGAAGATGCAGGTATCATCCTTTTCTGTTTAATAACATTTTTTTTTTCCAAATATCTTCATCCTCCAACAGTCGTCAACGATTTATCGGCCGAACACTGAAACTCTCAACAGAATCAAACAGAAACATTCAAACGTCTCTTCAACTCTCTGAACACAAACGTCTACACGCTGCAGCAGCAGGAAAACATTCAACTAAGAACAATTAAATTACTCTAAAATATACAAAACCGAAACATACACTTTGATTTGAAAAAAACAAAACAAAAAATCAATAAGAGGATCGTCCCGGCTGCGTCACGTCCCATAATTCTCTCTGGCTCTGAAGCAGACAAAAAATAAAACATATAAATATGACAGAGGAAGGATTCTCAGTTAATTAAACATGTTCTGTGATAAACAAGTCACGCTGATTTTTAAAATGTTCCTTTATGTTTGTGGTCATCAGTCAAACCTGCCCTCTGTTTTTTAATGATCCTAATATCAATAAATAACTCTGAGACTCTGAGTACATCAGCTGCAGCTGGCAGGATGAGTTTACACCAGGGCTGGGCGATATGGCCCTAAAATCATTTCAGGATATTTCAGGGTATTTTTGTAGAAACTAAAATGACCTCTCATTTCTTTAGTTTGTGAACAACAGTAACTCAGATTCAGATTCTGTCACAATATTAAAGGCTCTCTAAGTCTTCCTAAGCTTGAAAAGTTTTTGTCACATACAGCAAACATCTCCTCATGATCCGCTAGCTACATGTCCTCTGAATATGCTGTGAAAAAGTCTGGTCTCTGTAGGCAGCCCAGGCTCCACACATGGCAACAAAAACACGTCGCTTCTGTTTACGTTCAACAATGTTATCAAACACAACGGAGCTAGCTCGCCTTTTAGCCTCATTGTAGCCTGTAGCTCTAACTGCCTCTCTGGTCACTGCGTTCATGCGTGCGCGCTTGCTTTCGCGCTGGCTGGTTGGTGCAGCCTGGACCACAATGTCTTTGTTGCCATGTGTGGCAACAAAGACAGAAGAGCTAATTTTTTGGGAGCAGATCGGCCGACGGACTCTGGATGTAATGTGAGCTTGAAGTTAACAGTGTCTGTAATGTAGCATCGTGTTAGCTACCTGGCTAACGTTAGTGTCATGACATTGTCACAGGAAGAAAAGTCATGCGCAGCACTTCATAAAAAAAGTGCCACCTGTACTTTTCTTATGAAGTGCTGAGATGCCGCACTCCCCAGCGTCCTGCCAACAGTCTCCTGCTGGGAAAAAACAACAACAAAAAAAACACTATGTGGACACGGGTCCTTATCTGGACTTTAGTCTCAGCATGAGTCAAATACTGGATCCTACATTTCTCATAAAGCACCTGTGTGTTTCACTATGCCTGTCTGCCTGGTGAACAGACCACACCTCCAGGAAGTGCACCAAGCTTCAAAGCCAGTTTTCATAAAGGCCAAACAGTGGTCCTTCATTTCCCAGGGTCGGTCACATGATGTCCTGCGGCCCAGAACGACTTCCCCACTGACTTACACTGGGAATCAGTGTGTAAACTCAGGTACACACTTCATTCATTCTCTCCTGAGTGTGTACAGGTGCGTGTGCCTAACGCCGGATTTCCACTGCATGCGTGTCCGTTGCGGAACGGCAGCGCTGGTTATCCGCTGCGTGCTCCGCCGTCCGTCAATACCCACTGGCTGTGTTTGCTGTGCGGTGCGGTGCAGCTCTGCCGGAAGACATCTCGGTGCACTGCCATGATTAACATCTCCTCGTCCATGGTGTTCACGGGGTGAAATGACGTCTGAAAACCTCTGACCTGTTGACTTCAGGCCTGCCTCCCCCCATTATGTAGTTTTCAAGGTGTAGTGCAGGGAAATATGATCCGCCGTGAACACTGTGTATTTTATTTTGATAATTAACCGGATGTTTTATTTTGTTTCTGTGCACGACTTCCTGCCCCGCACGATCTGCTCTGTGCTGAATTGCTGCGTTGTGCTCCGGCGTCCGGCAAAAATAAAACTCCTGCGTATCTGTTGCGGAGGGCTCCAAGTGCCGGAGCTGAGACGGAGCCGGAACGCAGCACAGCCGCAGCTGGTGGAAACACACACATTGACTAGAATTGAATCCTATCAGCTCCACTGCCGTGCCGGAGCGGGGACGCAACCAACACGCATCTGGTGGAAATAGGCCGTAAGTGTGTACAAGTGTGTGTGTGCCTGAGTGTGTACAGGTGTCTAGTTCTTACCTCAGTCCTTGGAGCTCGACTTGAACACCTGCTGAGCCTGAAACACATCAACACACATCAGCTCAGGACGCAGCCTGTTGTTTCAAAAACAATGTTTCACTGTGAACCACAACTCTGCTTTAAAATCAGCAGGTGGAGAGCTAGCTAACATTAGCTGTTAGCAGTTGTTAACGTTAGCAGTTAGAGGGTAGTTAACGTTAACAGTTAGACAGTAATTACCATTAGCTGATAGCAGCTCGTTAATGTTAGGTGTTAAAAGTTAGTTAACGTTAGCAGTTAGAGGGTAGTTAACGTAAGCAATAAAAGGCTAGTTAACGTTAGCAGTTAGATGGTAGTTACCATTAGCTGTTAGTAGCTGTTAATGTTAGCTGTTACTGGCTATTTAACATTATCTGATAGCAGCTAGTTAACATTAGGCGTTAGAAGCTAGTTAATGTTAGCTGTTAGAGGGCAGTTAACGTAAGCCATAAAAGGCTAGTTAACATTAGCAGTTAAAAGCTAGTTACCATTTGTTGTTAGTAGCTGTTAATGTTAGCTGTTAAAAGCCAGTTAACGTTAGCTTTTACCAGCTAGTTAAAGTTAGCCAATAGCAGCTAGTTAACCTTAGCTGTTAGAATCTAATTTACATTAGCAGCTGTTAATGTTAGCTGTTGGCAGCTAGTTAACCGTTAAAGGTTAGCAGCTAGTTAAAGTTAGCTGTTACCAGTGCACCTCTACTTCAGGTTAGCAGCTGTGTGGGCTCCATGCTCACTCTGACAGTTAATGGATTACCAGTGGCTAACAACTAAGGGGTGGGGCTTAGCGATCTGCTGCTGAGCCAGCTGTCCAATAAAAACACGAAGCATCACTTCACCTTTAGACAACTAAACATCAGGTTCACACTCAGACACCAAAGTTGATCTTCTAACAGTGACTTTATCTTGTCAGAGACGTCAGAGGGGCGGCGGTTTGGCTGCAGCTGCTGACGTGTTCTCAGGTCTGCTGAGTTTGTGTAGTTAGCATGTTATTAATATGATATTAACATGTTACTGACCATGTAGCTGCCGGTATGGAAGCCACACATGTACCACAGCATCAACATGCTGGAGGAGGCGTCGACGCCAGTAGAGCCGCTTGAATCTCTCCCAGCAAACGTCCAGAGAGGAGGAGGAGGAGGAGGGATGAAGGACACAGGGCCCTGAGGAGGGAGACACAAACTGATCAATGCACAGAAGATTATTAGTAATGACCTGATTAATAAAGTGGAATATATTTATATCACACAGCACATTAGATTCTGGGTGTGTTAATATGGTGCGTGTTAACTTTTCCTGGTTAAAAGGCTGCGCCACAGTCCAGTGATGTCATTATCTGAACTGACAGACTGTTCATTATATCAGATTCATCATGTCAACATGATTAATGATTATTGATCAGAAATCTCACTGTGTACATTCTGTAAAAGCACCGACAGTAAACCCTACAGGATCGTCACAGTATCAATATCAAGGTATGTGTTCAGGAATATGTTGATATTTTTGCTCGTTTTACCCCTGAGCCCGACTGAGGAGGAGGAGGAAACGGAGGAAAGAAACAGAAGCTGTGATTGGCCAGTTTCTCCGCTCCGTCTGTCTGCTGGTTTCCTGTCTTCTTCTCTTCGGCTTCTTTCTCCACTTTACTACTGAGTTTCTCTTTCACCTGCTGACACACAAAATACAGCAAAACAGGCGTGAGCGGTGATTTCATTCATTCTGCTGTTCAGTCTGAGTTTGAGAGAGAGAAGGAGAGGCGGCCTGATCTCTTGGTCTGATCATCGGCACTGG